CTCCCAAAATTCCTCTGTTCTCTACCCATTCATTCCTCCCTTTCCCACTAACCCCTGGTGACCACTGATTTTCCTTTTCCTTTTTTGAGATAGGGTCTCATTCTGTCATCCAGGCTATAGTCCAGTGGCCCAATCAAGGCTCACTGCAGCCTTGACCTCCTGGGCTCAATCAATCCTCTTGCCTTAGCCTCCTGAGCAGCTGGGACTATAGGCATGCACCACCACACCCACCTAATTTTTGGTAGAGACCAGTTTTCATCATGTTACCCAGGCTAGTCTCCAAGTGATCCTCCTGACTCAGCCTCCCGGTGCTGGGATGACAGGCGTGAGCCACTGCACCCAGCCTTTTTTTTAAGAGATGGTGTCTCACTATGTTGTCCATGCCAGATTTAAACTCCTGGGCTCAAGTGATCCTCCTACTTCAGCCTCCCAAGTAGCTGGGACTACAAGGTGTGCAACACTACACTGGCTTGATCTTTTTATTTTTTCCATAATTTTGCCTTTTCTAGAATGTCACACAGTTGGAGTCATATGGCATGGAGCCTATTCAAATTGGCTTCTTTCATTGAGTAATATGCATTTAAGGCTCCTCCATGTGTTTTCATGGTTTGATAGCTCATTTATTTTCAGTGCTGAGTAATATTCCATTGTCTGGTAGATGCCCCACAGTTTACCCATTTACATACTGCAGGACATCTTGGTTGCTTCCAAGTTTTGGCAATTATGAGTAGTGCTGCTATACACATCTGTGTACAGGCTTTTGTGTGGACATAAATTTTCAATTTGTTTGGATAAATACTAAGAAGTGTGATTTTGGATTGTATGCTAGGAGTAAGTAAACTGTCCTCCAAGGTGGTTGTACCATTCTGCCTTCCACCAACAATTAATGAGAGTGTCTTACTCTACATCCTCACAAGTATTCAGTGTTGTCAGTGTTCTGGAGTTTTACCTTTTTTTTTTTTGAGATGGGAGTCTCACTGTCTTGCCCAATCTGAAGTGCAATGGCACGATCTTGGCTCATTGAAACCTCCACCTCCCAGGTTCAAGCAATTCTCCTGCCTCAGCCTCCCAAGTAGCTGGGATCACTGGCATGCACCACCATGCTTGGCTAATTTTTGTATTTTTAGTAGAGACAGGCTTTTGCCATTCGTCCAGACTGCTCTTGAACTCCTGACCTCAGGTGATCTGCCTCTCGTGGCCTCCCAAAGTGCCTGGTTGATGAAATTTCACCATTCTAATAGATGTGTCATAGTTGTTTTAACTGGTAATTCCCTAATGACATATGATGTTGGTTATCTTTTCGTATGCTTATTCGTCATCTGTTTATCTTCTTTAGAGAAATAGCTATTCAAATCCTTCACCCACTCTTAAATTGTATTGCCTTTTTACTATTGAGTTGAAAGGTTCTTATAAATATTCTGGACACTAGACCCTTATCAGATATATAAGTTGCAAATGTTTTTTCCCATTCTGTAAGTTGTCTTCACTTTCTTTCTTTTTTTTTTTTTTAAAGAGACAGGGTCTTGCTATGTTGTCCAGGCTGGACCCAAACTCCTGGGCTCAAGTAGTCTTCCCAATTCAGCCTCCTGCGTAGCTAGGATTATAAGCATGGTTACTCCCAGCTGTCTGTTCTTTAATTTTCATGCCACTGCACCTCGGCAGCTCTTTTCACTTTCTTGAGTGTTCTTTAAGGCACAAATGTTTTTAATTCAGTAAAGTCCAAGTGTTCCTTTTTTTTTTTTTTTTTTTTTTTTTTGGTAAGCTCGGGCTTTTGGTACAATGTTGAAGAAATCATTGCCTAATTCGATGTCATGAAACCTTACACCTGTGTTTCCTTCTAAGCATTTTGTAGTTTCAGCTCTTAAATTTAGGTTTTCAATCCTTTTAAATATATATATATATAGCTGGGAAGTGAAGCCTCTGGCTAGAAGCCAGAAACAGGCACTTTCTTTTGATCCATTTTGAGTTGATTTTTGTACACTGTGTACCACAGGAGTTCATTTTTGCGCATATGGATATCCAGTTGTCCCAGCGGCATTTGTTTAAAAAACTATTATGGTCCTGGCACCTTTATCAATATCTATACTCTTAATCACTATAAAAATGTGTACTTTGGTCATGATATATTTCTTACTGTGTGAGACACTGTGCCAAAAAAAAACTTGTAAACGATGATATGTAAAATGTGTGAAGACCTTCAGGCAACAGAAAGGATCACTTTAGATGCAGAGAGATAGACTTAGTAAAGCTACTATAGTAATCTAGTCAAAAGATAAAGGTGGCCGAGATAAAGGCAGTAGTCATCAAAAAAAGTACACAGACTTTAGCAATACTGAAGAGCTACAGTTTAGCAAGATGCATCATGGATTGGATGTGAGAAACAGGGAAAGAGAGTGATCAAGGATGACTCCCAGTGTTCTGGATAGACAGATGATATTATTTACTGGGAGAAGCAACTTAGTTAAGCCACACTGAAGTCTTAACGCACTGCATACTAATGATTTTTCAGGGTACGATTTTCTACCTCCTAAAGGTAGAAAACTGCCCCCAATTTCTTTGTTAGGCAGAATGCTACATTTTTTCCTTACTTTTCTTCCTTTGGGTCAAAGAAAAATTAAGAAAGTATCTGACTTCTGTAGATGCTTTGTTTAAAAACAATGCCTGTGAGGTATGCACTTATACCTAACTTCTGCCTTCCTCTCTCCCTCAGGGATGGCTTTGTCTCCTAAGTGACAGATAGATGGTAACCAAAATCTCTGAACTTCTTCAACTTCCAGCTTCCACTTACAAAATGACTTGCATTCTCACTTCCCTTCTTTCTTCATGAATTAATGGACAGAGTCGTGTCTTTCTTCCCATTCAAGTTCTCTCTTGGTTTTCTGGATCCCACTCATCTTGCATCCCCAGGGACAAAGCTGTGCTAATAATATCCTTTCTTACCTACATCTTCCTCTCATTTAAGCAGCTCACCCTATTGTGGCAGGCCTCCATCACAACTGTTTCAGCACTGACTGAGTGGTTAAATTAAATATTAAAAGCTAAAAAACCCAGTGCCCTTATACAGAGGCTAGAATATAACAAAAGCCCATTAAGAGTTTTGCCTGGGCCTTTCCTGGGCCTTGAGGCATGACAAAATAAGGAAGGAATTCTTAACAGGACCCATTTAAGATTAAACAAGTTTGTTTGGTTTTGTTTCCTTTTTTTTTCTCCTCTACATTCCCTTGTTATAAACAAGTTTTATTGAGGGTGTAAAGGAACTCCCCAGGCCTCCACAAATTTATGGGTAGTCTGAAGGAACTCCCCAAACCTCCATGACTTAGCAGGCGTCAATAGAAGGGTAATCATCCCAGCACCTAGACCCATTTATATTAAGTAAACTTACTGAGGCAGAAGAAGGTCTTCAGGACTCCAACCTTAGTTACAGATTAAAAGAAGTTAATCACTTAGGTCTTTAGATGAATGCACACTTACACATAGACATATAGCTTAGAAAGCATGTAAGTTCTGAAACACTTTGTGATTTTGAGCTGGTCTGGTGATAATTTCCAGGCCTTCTCCCTATCATCAATTACAGAAATAAAAACACTCTTCCTCCTCAGCACATGTGCATCTCGTTACTGGGCCGTGAGGAATATAACAGACCCTCAGTTTGGTCGAGGAACACTATGAATTTCTCAGTCTCTTCCATTTTTGTTGAAACTGTTCTCAGGGCCAACAATAACCTCAATCCAGGTACAGTGGCTTGCTACTATCTTAGCTACTCTGGATGCTGAGGCGGGAGGATCTCCAGGTCAAGAATTCAAGACCAGCCTGGGCAACATAGAGAAACTCTTGTCTCTTTAAAAAAAAAAAAAAAAATTAAACAATTAGCTGGCCACCATGATGACATGTGCCTCCAGTCCCAACTACTGGATAGGCTGAAGCAGAAGATTGCTTAAGTCCAGAAGTTCGAGGCTACAGTAAGCTATGATCACACCACTACACTTCAGCCTAGGCAACAGAGCAAGATCTTGTCTCTTTTTCTGTTTGTTTGTTTGTTTGTTTTGTTTCTTATTTCAATGATTACACCATGAAGATCTTGTCTCTTAAAACAAACAAATTAAAAAAAGAATGACCTCTGTATTTTTAAATCCTTAGACCTCTTAACAGTGAGGTAGTGTCAACAATTTTCATAATTTTAATAGCATCTCTACCATTAATTTTCTAATTTTCTTTCAGACTGTCTTAGAAAGAGTGAGAGGTAATGATGCTTCTACCAAAACAGCTTTAATTTTGTTTGATATGTAGGGGTTGTATAAAAGATTTCATTTTAAAACAGTGTTTCTGCCAAGCGTGGTGGCTCATGCCTGGAATCCCAGCACTTTGGGAGGCCAAGGCAGGAGGCTTGCTTGAGCCCAGGAGTTTGTGAACAACCTGGGCAACGTGACAAAACCCCATCTCTACTAAAAATACTAAAAAAGTAGCCAGGCATGGTGGTACATGCCTGCAGTCCCAGCTACTCAGGAGGCTGAGACGGGAAGATTGCTTGAGCCCAGGAAGTCCAGGATGTAGTGAGCCCAGATTGCCACTGCACTCCAGCCTGGGCAACAGGAGGGAGACCCCTATCTCAAATCAAATAAACAACAGAAGTATTTATGAATGAATGAATGAATGAATGAATGAATGAATGGAGTTGGTATAACTCCAGCCTGAGCAACAGGAGTGAGACCCCTATCTCAAATCAAACAAACAACAGAAGTATTTATGAATGAATCAATGAATGAATGAATGAATGAATGAATGGAGTTGGTATAACTCCAGCCTGGGCAACAGGAGTGAGACCCCTATCTCAAATCAAACAAACAACAGAAGTATTTATGAATGAATGAATGAATGAATGGAGTTGGTATAAATAATAGAAATAAGTAAGTTTTGCTTCAGCATGAAATGTCGGCATTTTCTTAAGCTACAATCTCACTGTTAATTTCCATTGTAATGAACAATTCATATCTTACTCTTACCCAGTGTCCTCCATTAATGCCAGAGTGATTCGAGAGAGCACTCGGTTCTGAGTGTGAGAACCAGTCATTGCTTCATTCTGAAAATCACCAACAGATTTTAATTAGAAGCCTAGTTTATCTGCAACTCCTAATACTTTCTATAATTCCTGATATATATTTAAAATGTTTCAACTGTGAGAGGCTGACAAGACACTCCCTTAAAAGTGGTGAAATATATAAACCTTTAAAATGACTAGACTGAATCTTGAAGTGAAATCTATTTTCTGCCCTAAGTGTTTCAATTGTGTACGATTCCCTCAGAATGGTAGGCAACTGGCATTTAGAACTCTGTGATGAATGAAGAGAAATCTATATGAAAACAGAAATACTACAGAAATATTATACTCTCCAGGTAAAGCAAAGTAGGTGATTGAGGCAAATGCACAGATAATTTTGAGTCAGGGGGAACACTTGTCTGAATTACATAGAAAAGTTTTCATAACCTTCAAATTTGTGATCACAGAAACATGTACTAACATGCAAAACAAATGTGACAGAATTATGGGATAAAAGGATTTACTTGAAAGGTCTAAAATATCATCAAGGTCTACCATCTATGCAATACTTTAATTCATATCATACAATTCCTACCAGGAGGTAACCTATTGATGAGGACCTCACCGCCTCTTACAGAGCATATTTCATCTTTGGACAGTTCTGATTATTCTTTAAATCTTTCCATTGAAAACCAGATGATCATCTCAATTACTGTGATATCATGCCTTAAATAAAATAGTTCAGCCAGGCGTGGTGGCTCACGCCTATAATCCAGCACTCTGGGAGGCTGAGGCGGGCAGATCACCTGAGGTTGGAAGTTGGAGACCAGCCTGACCATCACGGATAAACGTGTCTCTACTAAAAATACAAAAAAATTAGCCTTTCATGGTGGCACATGCCTGTAATCTCAGCTACTTGGAAGGCTGAGGCAGGAGAATCGTTTGCACCGAGGAGGCGGAGGCCAAGATCGCACCACTGCACTCCAGGCTGGCAACAGAGCAAGACTGTCTCAAAAATAAATAAATAAGGACACGAAGTTGATCTGAGAGAAGATGCTAATAAAATTACTACTCTCAGAGCTTTTGCTGAAAAGGACATACATTTTCATTTCTGGCCAATCTACAGCTTTGTAAAGGGAGTCACTTGAGAAAATTTCTTAAGGAAAAGAAAAAAAACTAAAATTTCCATGGGAGGAATAAATGTACGTGTCTTCCGTAAGTTTCCATCATGATGACTTTGTGGTCACCTAGACAATAACAGTAACCACAAGCGTTCACTTCATTCCTTCCACAGTTTCATTAACTTTAGGCATGGTATATAAGCAGCTCTCTAAACATTTAAAAAACATTATATATCCTTTGACCCAGAAATTCCATTTCCAGGGATGCATCCTTTCTATATAAACAAAACTGACCTTGTGTTAACTCTCTAGTTCTGTTCCCCTGGAAGGAAACCCAATAAAGGTGAATGTCGACTGTGTTACCAGGTAACACTACCTAAGAAAAAAAGAGCTCCTGATATGCCTCTCAACTTGGTATGACTGTAAATGAACATGAATACCTGTTGGTAAGCCACAGTTTGGATCTGGACTTCCCTGTGAGCAGTGACTCCTGTGGGTATGTCCCCTATTGGATCTGGAATTTAGACCTATGGAACTGTTAAAAAAGATATTGGTTCCTATTTGGGACATGATATTTCTAAGCCAGGCTGGTTCTCCCACCTGTCTACTGTGGTCTTGGGCTCTTGCAGTTAAGCTGCACAGGGAAGGGAGACAGGCACAGGTGATAGCCCCTCCACTGCTCTGTGGAGCACAAGAGAAATGCCTGGCTTACTGTGCCGCCGTCCTGTGTGTTCCTTTTAATATCCTTCTCTGAGGGAATCTTGTCTCAGTATAGCCTGAGTAGGTCCAGTGAGTCTGACTGCTTAGTTGTCTAAGAACACCCGCTGAAACCCCACCCTGGGAAGGCAAGGTATCACAGATAGAAATAAGCTGCTCATTACATTTTCTAAAATACAAAATTTAAAACATAGTTTTCATTAACACAGAAAAGTTATGCTACATTCATATAGAAAAAAATGAGTAGATCCAAGTATACAGTTTATTCTGTGAAAAGCATGTGTTTCCGCAATGTGAAGGAGCTCATGTGAAATAGTAAATAAGGGAATGGCATCAGTATAACATGGAACCACAGTGGCTCACTGATTTTTCCCTGCATATTACTATTTTTTTATAAAGCCTGAACACAACGTATACTAAGAGAGCCAAACACAGCAATACAAAAAAGCTGTTCTGTGTATAATGTGTGTCTATTTCACCTGCTTTCTCTTTGCTCGGTGTAGCCAGTGACTCTGCTTGGAAGTGTTCACAAGTCTCATTCTACCCTTGTCCCCGTTACTCAGATTTACAATCCCCCATCCAGCTACCATGGGTTATTGTTACTGCTGAGGTTGAAGGTAAAGAAATACTAGAGTAGCCAGTCACGACGGTATATACCCGTAACCCCAGCACTTTGGGAGGCTGAAGGCAGAAGGACTGCTTGAGTCCATGAGTTTGAGGTCAGCATGGGCAACATGGTGAAACCTGTCTCTACTAAAAGTACAAAAAGAAAATTAGCTGGTCATGGTGGCACATGCCTGTAGTCCCAGCTACTCAGGAGGCTAAGATGAAAGAATCAGCTGAGCCCAGGAGGTCGAGGCTGCAGTGAACCGAAATCATGCCACTATATTCTAGTCTGGGCAACTGGAGTAAGACCTTGTCTTAAAGAAAGAGAGAAATACTAAAGTAGGCTGTGTGCCTGTGGTCCCAGCTACTTGGGAGGCTGACGCAGGAGGACTGCCTGAGTACAAGAGTTCGAGGTTGTAGTGTGCTATGATCGTGCCTGTGAATAGTTGCAGCACTCCAGCCTGGACAACACAATGAGACTCTGTCTCTAAAATACATAAAAATTTTAATAAAAGACATACTAGAGTAGATACAGGACTTCATTTATTGGAAATCTGATGTCTTTTTAAAACTGAGGTCATAGTTCTCATATGACTTATTTGTTTCTGTTACTGATCTGTTTACTTGTTTTTCCCGTAAGTCTTGTTATGTTTCGTGTCCAATTTTGAAAAAAAGGGTTTTTCAGGAAAGTATACATTGCATTATAGCAGAAGCACCTATAGTACCTTGGAAAAAGTGAAAAAGTTGCATAAATGTGCGAACTCGTTAAAAAATAATTCTGTGTGTGTTTGCACATACGTACATATGTAACATGTGTGAAAGTATATACAAAAAACTTCGAGAGTGATTACATCTGGAAAGTGGGTCTGGAGAGCCAAAGGGGTAAAGTGATGTAAAACATTTTCGGTTTATAACCTGTTAGAATAACTTTTACCATTATTATGAATTACTTTCATTAAATAAAGTCTAGTAAAATTTAAAAACAAACTGACCTCTAATAACCTTTTTTCCCAATGGTTGAGCTCAGTGCCCATACCACCCTGATTTTCAAGCTCCATTCCCTCCAGAACAGGACAATTAAAATGTTTTCGTGCTTCCTCCTATGAACCAGAAAAAAAAAAATGGTACAAAAGTACCATAAGATAATGGCAAACTTTTCATCACATAAATATAAGAAGTTAATATTAAAGAATTATTTTGTTGAGAAAAGAGAAATTCTTTTTAAAATGTTTTTTCTTTTTCTTTTTTCTTAAGCAAAGCCACTGTTGCCCTGTGATAAATGTTTTTTAATATAATTATTTTGATGCAGTCACACTCTTCTTTGCTATGAAATTACTACTTCTCTTAATATCTTTTCTTCTCTCTGAAGATTTTCACTTTTGTACCATATAGCTAAAAAATGTTATAGAGTAGTATGATTGACAATTGTAACTCATGTCAATAACAATTTTAAAATTTGTATCTCATTTTAAATTGACAATTTATGGTTGTATATATTTATGGAGTACAGAGTGATGTCATGATTTATGAATACAATGTGAAATAATTACATCAAGCTAATATATCTATCATTTCAAATACTTATTTTTTGTAAGGGGAGCATTTGAAATTTACTATCAGTAACTTAAAAATATGCAATACGCTATTACTAACCATATTCACCATGCTGTGCAATAGATCTCAAAAAAAAAGAAAAAAGCGTATTATTTGTGTCTGTGATTTTGTACCCTTTGGCCATCATTTACCATTTCCCCCCCAACCCACAGCCTCTGTAACTACTACTCTCTGCTTCTGAGTTCAGTTGTTTTAGATGTCACATGTAAGTGAAAACATTTATTTATCATTAAATAAATTCTAGTAAAATTTAAAAACAAACTGACCTCTAATAACCTTTTATCCCAATGGTTGAGCTCAACTGAAAAAGAGCAAGCACTCTTTCGTCTTTTTGATAACAGTCATCTGACACACATAAAATGACACCTCATTGAGGTTTTAATCTGCATTTCCTTAAAGATTAGTAATGTTGGGCATTTTTTTCACGTACCTGTTCACAGTTTGCATGTCTTCTTTTGAGAAATGTCTATTCAGGTCCTTGGTCAATTTTTTAAATGGGCTATTTGTACACAGTTGTTTGTATTCCTTATATATTCTGCATACTAACCCCTTTTCTGATGTATGGCTTGCAAATATTTTCTCCCAATTTGTAGGTTGTCTCTTCACACTTTTAATTATTTCCTTTGCTGTGCGGAAGCTTTTTCATTTGATGTAATCTCATTCGTCCTTTTTTATTTTTGTTGCCTGCACTTTCAGGGTCTGATCCAAAAACTCACTGCCCTAACCAATATCATGTAGTTGTCCCCTTATGTTTTCTTCTAGTAGTTTTACAGTTTCTGGTCTTATGTTAAACATTTAGTACATCTGAAGTTGGTTTTTGTATATGGTGTGAAGTGAAGATCAAATTTCATCTTCTGCATATGGATATCCAGTTTTCCCAACACTATTTATTGAAGAGACTTTTTCCTATTGTGTATTCTTAGCACCTTTATTAAAAACCAATTAACCATAATCGGTTAATCATAAGTCAATCAAGTAAATCATAATTTCTTCTGTCCCATTAATCAATGTGCCTATTTTTATTCTAAGACCATGAAATTTTACTTACTATTCCTTTGCAGTACAGTTTGAAATACTACAAAGCTGGAGGCATCACACTGCCTGAATAGCTTGGTTCTTTTTGCCCACAGTTGCTTTGGCTATTTAGGTTTTTTTGTGTGTTTGTGGTTCCATATGAATTTGAGAATTTTTTTTCTATTTCTGTGAAAAATGATACTGGAATTTTGAAAGGGATCACACTGATCCTGTAGACTGTTTTGGGCAGTATAGACATTTTAACAATATTAATTCTTCTAATCAATGAACACAGGATGCCTTTGTCTTTATTGTGTCTTCTTCAATTTCTTTCATCTAGTTTTCAGTGCATAGGTCTTTCACTTCCCTGGTTAAATTGATTCCTAAGAATTATTTCTTTTTGTAGCTATTATATATGAGATTATTTTCTTGATTTCTTTTTCAGGTAATTTTCTGTTAGTATATAGAAAACTACTGATTTTTTTGTGCATTGATTTTACATCCTGCAATTTTACTGTATTTATTAATCCTCATAATTTTTTTATGGAGTCTCTAGGGTTTTCTATATATAAGATCATGTCATCAGCAAACAGCAACTGTTTCACTTCTTTCTGTCCTATTTGGATGCTTTTTATTTATTTCTATGGCCTGACTGTGCTAACAAGGACTTCCAATATTATGTAGAAGTGGTCAGAGTGTTTCAGAAATTGGAGGAAAGGCTTTTAATTTTTCACTAATAAGGTCTGTTGTAGCTGTCTCTTATATGGTCTTTATTGTGCTGAGGTACCTTCGTTTTGTACATAATTTGGTTAGTTTTTAATCATAAAAAGATGTTGAATTTTGCTAAATAATTTGTTGGCATCTACTGAGATGATCTTTTGGTTTTTGTCCTTCATTCTGTCAGTGAGATGCATCACATTTATCGATTTGCTATGTTCAGCCATCCTTGCATCCCAGGGATAAATCTCACTTGATCATGATAGATGACCTATTTAACGAGTTATAGAACTCAGTTTGTTAGTATTCTATTGGAAAATTTTTGTACTTATGCTTATCAAGAATATTAGCCTGTAATTTTCTTTTCTTGTAATGGTCTTGTCTAAATTTGTTATTAGAATATTGCTGCCCTTGTAAAAAGAGTCTGGAAGTAATCCCTCCTCTTCAATTTGTTGCAAAACTTTGAGAAGGACTAGTATTAGTTCTTCTTTAAACATCTGGTGAAATTCAGCAGGGAAACTGGTCCTGGGCTTCTCTTTGATGGCAGACTTCTTACTGATTCAACCTCATTACTCATTATTGGTCTGTTCAGATTTTTTATTTCTTCATGATTCAGTCTTCATAGGTTGGATTTTTCTAGAAATTTGTTCATTTCTTCTAGGTTATCCTATTTGTTGGTATATAATTGTTGATAATAGTCTCTTATGATCCTTTGTGTTTCTGTGGTATCACTTGTAATGTCTCCTCTTTCATTTCTTATGTCATTTGCATCTTCTTAGTCTAACTAAGGGTTTGTCAGTTTTATCTCTTCAAAAAATCTACTCTGGCCGGGCGCAGTGGCTCATTCCTGTTATCCCAGCACTTCAGGATGGCAGAGTGGGCAGATCACCTGAGGTCACCAGTACCTCCTCTGTTGAGATACCTCTTAGGATCAGTGGTACTATTTCTACAATTACTGATCATTTTATTTGGTGCCTGTATTAGTCAAGGTTCTCCAGATAAACAGAACCAATAGGATGTGTGTATATATCTATATATATTACACACAGAGAAAGAATACAAGAGAGGAGGGAGGTGGTGGCATGCGCCTGTAATTCCAGCTACTCAGAAGGATGAGGCAGGAGAATCGCTTGAACCCAGGAGGCAGAGGTTACAGTGAGCCAAGCATGTGTCATTGTACTTCGGCCTGGGCGACAAGAAGAAAACTCCATCTCCAAAAAAAAAAAGTTGCTCAGTAGGATAAAATTTTGCTCATTGGGTTCTATCTGTTCTTTAGTTAGAAATTTCAAGAGAAGGGAAATAGCCCAAAAGCAGTGCAAAACTTTAAAAGTCAGAGAGCTGTACACAGTCAAGGAAAAGGGGAAGGGAGAATAGCTATGGTACCCAGATATTTTGGATGTTTTTGTGAAGGTCTTTTTTTTGAGACGGAGTTTTGCTCTTCTTGTCCTCTACCTCCTGGGTCAAGTAATTCTCCTGCCTCAGCCTCCAGAGTAGCTGCTATTACAGGTATGCACAACCACACCCAGCTAATTTTCTATTTTTATTAGAGACAGGGTTTCTCCATGTTGGTCAGGCTGGTCTTGAACTCCCAACCTCAGGTGATCCACCCGCCTCAGCCTCCCAAAGTGCTGGGATTACAGGCATGGGCCCCTGCACCCAGCTGCGAAGGTGTTTTCTTGAATGAGAGTAACATGGACATCAGTAGACTCTGAAGTAAAGATCACCTCCGTAATGTGGGTGGGCCTCATCCAATCAATAGAAGGCCTGAAGAGAACAAAGACTGATCTCCCCTGAATAGGAAGTAATTCTGCCTTCGGACTTGAACTATGACTCTTCCCTGAGTCTCCAGCCTGCTGGCCTACCCCTTCAGATTTGAACTGGCCAAGCTTCCATAGTCATGTGAGCCAAACCCTTAAAAGTAATCTCTTGGCCAGGTGCAGTGGCTCATGACTGTAATCTTAGCACTTTGGGAGGCTGAGGCAGAAAGACTGCTGGAGCCCAGAAGATCAAGACCACCCTGCGCAACATAGTGAGACCTCATCACTACAAAAAATAAACAAAATTAGCATGGTGGTGCATTCCTATAGTCTCACCCACTCGGGAGGCTAAAGTAGGAGGATCACTTGGGCCCATGGGGTGGAGATTGCAGTGAGCCAAAAGCGCACCACTACATTCCAGCCTGGGTGATAGACTAAGATCATCTCAAAAAAAAAAAAAAAAAGAAAAGAAAAGAAAAAAGAAGAAATCTCTTCCTCCCCTCCTCTCTCATATTCTTTCTCTGTGTGTACATATATATAGATATATGCACACATCCTGTTGGTTCTGTTTCTCTGGAGAACCTTGATTAACATGGACAGAAAATAAAATGATCAATATCTATTTGCAGATGACATGATAGTATATCTAGAAGACCCCATCGTCACAGCCCAAAATCTCCTGAAACTGATAAGCAACTTCAGCAAAGTCTCAGGATACAAAATCAATGTGCGAAAGTCACAAGCATTCCTATACACCAATAACAGACTTAAAGAGAGCCAAATCAAGAATGAACTGCCATTCACAATTGCTACAAAAAGAATAAAATACCTTGGAATACAACTAACAAAGAATGTAAAGGACCTCTTCAAGGAGAACTACAAACCACTTCTCAAGGAAATAAGAGAGGACACAAACAGATGGAGAAACAGTCCATGTTCATGGTTAGGAAGAATCAATATTGTGAAAATGGCCATACTGCCCAAAGTAATTTACAGATTCAACACTATCCCCATCAAGCTACCAATGACCTTCTTCACAGAAGAACTGGAAAAAACCACCTTAAACTTCATATGGAACCATAAGACAGCCCACATAGCCAAGTCAATTCTAAGCAAAAAGAACACAGCGGGAGGCATCACACTACCAGACTTCAAACTATACTACAAAGCTACAGTAATCAAAACAGCATGGTACTGGGACCGAAACAGAGATATAGATCAATGGAACAGAACAGAGGCATCGGAGGCAACACAACATATCTATAACCATACAATCTTTGATAAACCTGACAAAAACAAGCAATGGGGAAAGGATTCCCTGTTTAATAAATGGTGTTGGGAAAACTGGCTAGCCATGTGCAGAAAGCAGAAACTGGACCCCTTTCTGACACCTTACACTAAAATTAACTCCAGATGGATTAAAGACTTAAACATAAGATCTAACACCATAAAAACACTAGAAGAAAATCTAGGCAAAACCATTCAGGACATAGGAGTAGGCAAGAACTTCATGACCAAAACACCAGAAGCATTGGCAGCAAAAGCCAAAATAGACAAATGGGACCTAATCAAACTCTACAGCTTCTGCACAGCAAAAGAAACAGTCACTAGAGTGAATCGGCAACCAACAGAATGGGAAAAAATTTTTGCCGTTTACCCATCTGACAAAGGGCTGATATCCAGAATTTACAAAGAACTCAAACAGATCCACAAAAAACAAACAAACAAACAAGCCCACTCAAAAGTGGACAAAGGATATGAACAGACACTTTACAAAAGAAGACATACATGAGGCCAACAAACATATGAAAAAATGCTCATCATCACTGGTCATTAGAGAAATGCAAATCACAACTACATTGAGATACCATCTCATGCCAGGTAGAATGGCGATCATTAAAAAATCTGGAGACAACAGATGCTCGAGAGGATGTGGTGAAATAGGAACACTTTTACACTGTTGGTGGGAGTGTAAATTAGTTCAACCATTGTGGAAGACAGTGTGGCGATTCCTCAAGGACCTAGAAATAGAAATTCCATTTGACCCAGCAATCCCATTACTGGGTATATATCCGAAGCATTATAAATCGTTCTTCTATAAGGACACATGCACACGAATGTTCATTGCAGCACTGTTTACAATAGCAGTGACCTGGAATTGCCCATCGATGATAGACTGGACAGGGAAAATGTGGCACATATACACCACAGAATATTATGCAGCAATCAAAAACAGTGAGCTCGTGTCCTTTGTAGGGACATGGATGAACCTGGAGAACATCATTCTCAGCAAACTGACACAAGAACAGAAAATGAAATACCACATGTTCTCACTCATAGGCGGGTGAGGAACAATGAGAACACATGGACACAGGGAGGGGAGCACTACACACTGGGTTCTGTTTGGGAGAATAGGGGAGGGACAGCGGGGGGTGGGGAGTTGGGGAGAGATAGCATGGGGAGAAATGCCAGATATAGGTGAAGGGGAGGAAGGCAGCAAATCACACTGTCACGTGTGTACCTATGCAACTATCTTGCATGTTCTCCACATGTCCCCCAAAACCTAAAATGCAATAAAAAAAATAATAAATAAAATGATCAATAATTATAGAAATAGTACCAGCGATCCTAAGAGAAATCACAACAGAAGAGGCACTGGATGAGGTGGGAGCTGCGAGAGTCATTGCCAAGTTTCCATTTCCTCAGATTTCTCAGGCCTGTAGCTTTACTGCACTGCATTTATATTACTTTTCCTACTATAGACTCTAAAATATTGTAAGTTCTTAAATAATAACAATGAGTCAAGAAAGGGCCACAATAAAGGAAAAGAACAGATGGTTCATAGACATGAAGTTCACTAATACTTACAACAACACGAGGCGTTACCAGGAGATACACAGTGTGAGGAATTATCTTATTATCTCGAACATCCCATAATCTCTCCACTTTTCGAACTACTTTATCACTCCATTGATATAATCCAAGACTGCAATTATAGAATTAAAACACAATTATTGTTACAAATTCACCACCACTTTAAATGTAAAAATATTTACGTTTACTGTAAAAAGCCTTTGTGATTATCAAAAAAGCATGATAAATGAAATAAAAAGATAAACAACTAGGAGAAATATTTATAATAAGCATGAAAAAGGAGTAATATCTCTAATTTATAAAGAATTCTTACAATGTGATTAGAAAGGGAAAACTGACCTAAAAGATTGGACAAGGAAAATAAATAGTGTACAAAGAGAACATGCAAATGGCTAAAACCTCATTACTGTCCTGGAAATACAATGATACCATCTTTTATCCATCAGATAAATCGTTCTACTACAAGGACACATGCACACGAATGTTCATTGCAGCACTGTTTACAATAGCAAAGACCTGGAATCAACCCAAATGCCCATCGATGATAGACTGGATTGGGAAAATGTGGCACATATACACCATGGAATATTATGCAGCAATCAGAAATGATGAGTTCGTGTCGTTTGTAGGGACATGGATGAATCTGGAGAACATCATTCTCAGCAAACTGACACAAGAACAGAAAATGAAACACCGCATATTCTCACTCATAGGCGGGTGATGAAAAATGAGAACACATGGACACAGAGAGGGGGGTACTAAACACTGGGGTCTATTGGGGGGAAAAGGGGAGGGCCAGTGGGAGGGGGAGGTGGGGAGGGATAGCCTGGGGAGAAATACCAAATGTGGGTGAAGGGGAGAAAGCAAACAAAACACACTGCCATGTGTGTACCTATGCAACTGTATTGCATGCTCTGCACATGTACCCCAAAACCAAAAATGCAATTAAAAAAAAAAATAGAAAATATCTACAATATCCAATACTAATAAAGAGGTAACAAGAGCATTTATACATGCTTGGTAGGAATGTGTTTGATATACCTTTTTATTCTTTTGAGACAGTTTCACCCTTGTTGGACAGGCTAGAGTGCAGTGGCATGATCCTGGCTCACTGCAACCTCTGTGTCCCAGGTTCAAGCTATTCTCCTGCCTCAGCCTCCCAAGTAGCTGGAATTATAGGAATGTGCCATCACAGCTGGTTAATTTTGTATTTTTAGTAGAGATGCGGTTTCTCCATGTTGGTCAGGTTAGTCTTGAACTCCTGACCTCAGGTGATCCGCCCACCTCAGCCTCCCAAAGTGCTGAGATTACAGGCATGAGCCACCATGTGGCCAGCTATACCTTTTTTTAAAAAATGACAGCTGGGCACAGTGGCTCACACCTATAATCCCAGCACTTTCGGAAGCTGAGGCAGGCGGATCCTGAGGTAAGGTGTTCAAGATCAGCCTGACCAACATGGAGAAATCCCAGCTCTACTATAAATACAAAATTAGCCAAGCATGGTGGCGCATTCCTGTAATATCAGCTACTCAGGAGGCTGAGGCAGGAGAATCGCTTGAACCCAATAGGCGGAGGCTGCAGTGAGCCAAGATCATGCCATTGCTCTCTATCCTGGGCAATAAGAGCGAAACTCCGTCTCAAAAAACAAAAGTAACATGGCAGTTTTTATTAACATTTATGGTGTAAACAGATTTTAAATCAGCAATCCCAGTTTGGGAAATCTATCCCACATAAATAAAGGCACTACTACAAAAGTAACGTATTTATCTATTACAGAAAATTATGGACATCAATTTTTACTTCTCCCTGAAACCTAAGTCATTTTTTTTTTTCTGGCTTATTCCCTAAACTACTTCTGCCATTTTCCCTATAAGTCCCTCATTCTCAGGAAAGGAACAGAAAACATAAAGAGGGTTTTCTTTTCCAATATTGTTTTATAAAAATTTCAAACATGTAAAACATTAAAATAATTGTTTAATAAACACCCTTATAATCAATAACCAGTTCACCTAGACTCCATAATTAACATTTTGTTATATGTGTTAACACATATCTGTTCATCTACCCATGCCTCAGAGAGTTTGTTTTTAATTCCTTTATCTTTCTCCATGGCCAGGCAATGTTTAAACATAAACAGTGAACAAAGCCAGCCAGAAAAGAAACAGCTTTTACCTTATGAACCACTCCAACCTCCCTTTACCATTCATACTTGAAGATTAAGAGTTTCCCCAAATACATCTGTTAAAGCCAAATCCAATTATTTATATTTCTAATAACTGAATTTATTACTCTGTTATCTTCATTTTCACTGGAAGCTTTCTCTTTTTCTCTGGAGACAGTCTTCCTCTGTCACCCAGGCTGGATTACAGTTGCATGATCACAGCTTATTGCAGCCTCAACGTCGTGAGCTCAACTGATCCTTCTACCTCAGCACCCAAGGAGCTGGGACTACAGGCAAATAAAAGCATGCCTGGCTAATTTTCATATTTTTTTTGTAGAGAAAGGGTTTTGCCACGTTCTCCAGCTGGTCTTGAACTCCTGGGCTCAAGCAATCAGCCCACCTCAGCCTCACAAACTGCTAGGATTACAGGCATAATCCACTGTGCCTGGCTGGAAGGTTTGATGTTTTTGAGGAATATACTCAGTGCAAGAAAGCACTGCAAATTATGAGCTTAAGAATGCCTCTTGGGGATGGATCCAAGATGGCCAATTAGGAGCAGCTCAAGATTGCAGCTCCCAGCAAAAGCATGGAGGGACTACAGGGAAGTTCACACGGCAGCTGGGCGGAGCCCACAGCAGCTCAGCAAAGCCTCTGCAGGCAGACAGTGACTAGGCTGCCTCCTCGCTGGGCAGGGCAGCCCTGAAAAAAGGTAGCAGCACAACAGAAACTCATAAATAAACCTCTAACTTCCCAGGACAGAGCACCTGGGAAAAAAAAAGGGAGGGGGTTATGACTTCTGCTGCAGCAGACTTAAACATACCTGCCCAGCAGCTCTGAATGAACAACGGAGCTCACAGCTCAGCACTTGAGCTCCTATAAAGGACAGACTGCCTCCTCAAGCAGCTCCCGTATATCCAAAGAGTCACCTCATAAAGGAGAGCTTGGACTGACATCTGGTGGGTATCCTTCTGGGACAAAGATGGTAGAAGAAAAAACTGGCAGCAACCCTTACTGGTCTGCAGCCACAGCTGGTGAGCCCCAGGCAAGTAAGGCCTGCAGTGGACCTCAGCAGTCCTACAGCAGAGGGACCTGACTGGTAGAAGGAAAACTAAGAAACAGAAATAAATAACTTCATCATCAACAAACGGGACGTCCACTCAGAGACTCAATCTGAAAGTCAACAACTACAAAGATAACAGGTGGACAAGTCCACAAAGATGGGATGAAACCAGCGCAAAAAGGATGAAAACACCTGAAACCACAATGCCACTCCTCCTACAAGGGATCACAACTCCTCACCAGCAAGGGAACAAGGCTGGATGGAGAATGAGTGTGATGAATTGACAGAATCAGGCTTCAGAAGGTGGGTAATAAGAAACTTCACTGAGCTAAAAGAACATGTTCCAACCCAATGCAAAGAAACTAAGAACCTTTAAAAAAGATTTGACGAAATGCTAACGAGAATAAACAACTTAGAGAGGAATATAACTGAATTGATGGAGCTGAAAAACACAACATGAGAACTTCATGAAGCATACACAAGTTTCAACAGCCGAATTGACAAAGCAGAAGAAAGGATATCAGAGGTCGAAGATCAACTCAATGAAATAAAACAAGAAGGCAAGATTAGAGAAAAAAGGGTAAAAAGGAATGAACAAAATCTCCAAGAAATATGGGACTAGGTGAAAAGACCTAATCTACGTTTGATAGGTGTACCTGAATGTGATGGAGAAAATGAATCCAAGCTGGAAAATACTTTTCAAGATATTATCCAGGAAAACTTCCAAACCTAGCAAGGCAGGCCAATATTCAAGTTCAGGAAATACAGAGAACACCACAAAGATATTCCTCAAGAAGAGCAACCCCAAGGCACACAATCTTCAGATTCACCAGGGTTGAAATGAAGGAGAAAATGCTAAGCGCAGCCAGAGAGAAAGGTCGGGTTACCCACAAAGGGAAGCCCATCAGACTCACAGCAGATCTCTCAGCAGAAACCTTACAGGCCAGAAGAGAGTGGGGGCCAATATTCAACATCCTTAAAGAAAAGAACTTTGGACCCAGAATTTCATATCCAGCCAAACTAAGCTTCATAAGTGAAGGAAAAGTAAAATCCTTTATGAACAAGCAAGCACTCAGAGATTTCATCACCACCAGGCCTGCTTTACAAGAGCTCCTGAAAGAGGCACTAAACATAGAAAGGAACAACCAGTACCAGCCACTCCAAAAACATACAAAATGGTAAAGAGCATCAAAACAATGAAGAAACCTCATCAACTAACAGGCAAAACAGCCAGCTAGCATCAAAATGGCAGTATCAAATTCATACATAACAATATTAACCCTAAATGTAAATGGGCTAAATGCCCCAATCAAAAGACACAGACTAGCAAATTGGATAAAAAGCCAAAACCCATCGGTGTGCTGTATCCAGGAAACCCATCTCACATGCAAGGATACAAAAAGGCTCAAAATAAAGGGATGGAGGAAGATTTACCAAGCAAATGGAAAGCAAAAAAAAGCAGGAGTTGCAATTCTCATCTCTGATAAAATAGACTTTAAAGCAACAAAGATCAAAAGAGACAAAGAAGGGCATTTCATAATGGTAAAAGGATCAATGCAACAAGAAGAGCTAATGATTCTAAACATATACGCACCCAATACAGGAGCACCCAGATACATAAAGCAAGTTCTTAATGACTTACAAAGAGACTTAAACTGCCATACAATAATAGTGGGAGATTTTAACACCCAACTGTCAATATTAGACAGATCAATGAGACAGAAAATTAACAAGAATATCCAGGACTTGAACTCAGACCTGGAACAAGCAAACCTAATAGACATTTAGAGAACTCTCCACCCCAAATCCACAGAATACACATTCTTCTCAGCACCACATCACACCTACTCTAAAATTGACCACATAATTGGAAGTAAAGCACTGCTCAGCAAATGCAAAACAACTGAAATAACAACAAACAGCCACTCAGACCACAGTGCAATCAAGTTAGAACTCAGATTTGAGAAACTAACTCAGAACCGCACAGCTTCATGGAAACTGAACAACAGGCTCTTGAATGTTGACTGGATAAACAATGAAATTAAGGCAGAAATAAAGAAGTTCTTCGAAACCAGTAAGAACGACGATGCAACATACCAGAATCTCTGGGACACATTTAAAGCAGTCTCTAGAGGAAAATATATAGCAATAAGTGCCCACATGAGAAGCAAGGAGAGATCTAAAATCGACACCCTATCATCAAAATTGAAAGAGCTAGAGGAGCAAGATCAAAAAAACTCAAAACCTAGCAGAAAACAAGAAATAACTAAGATCAGAGCAGAACTGACGGAGATAGAGACACAAAAAAACCCTTCAAAAAACTCAATAAATCTAGGAGGTGGTTTTTCAAAAAGATCAACAAAATAGACCGCTAGCCAGATTAATAAAGAAAAGAGAATAATTAAATAGGTGCAATAAAAAACGATAAAGGGGATATCACCACAGATTCCACAGAAATACAAACCATCATCAGAGATTATTACAAACAACTCTATGCACATAAACTAGTAAACCTGGAAGAAATGGATAAATTCCTGGACACTTGCGTCCTCCCGAGACTAAACCAGGAAGAAGTCGAAACCCTGAATAGACCAATAACAAGGTATGAAGTTGAGGCAGCAATTAAGAGCCTACCACACAAAAAAAGCCCAGGTCCAGATGGGTTCACAGCCAAATTCTACCAGACATACAAAGAGGAGCTGGTACCATTCCTTCTGAAACTATTCCAAACAATCCAAAAAGAGGAAATCCTTCCCAAATCATTTTATGAGACCAACATCATCCTGATACCAAAACCCAGCAGAAACTCAGCAAGAAAAGAAAACTTCAGGCCAATATCCATGATGAACATAGATGCAAAAAATCTTCAATAAAATACTGGCAAACCGATTGCAACAACACATCAAAAAGCTTATCCACCATGATCAAGTAGGCTTCATCCCAGGGATGCAAGGCTGGTTCAACATACGCAAGTCTATAAAAGTAATTCACCACATAAACAGAACCAAAAACAAAAACCACATGATTATCTCAATTGATGCAGAGAAGGCCTTTGACAAAATTCAACAGCCCTTTATGCTAAAAACCCTCAATAAACTCGGTATCAACAGAATGTATCTCAAAATAATAAAAGCTATTTACGACAAATCAACAGCCAATAACACACTGAATGGGCAAAAACTGGAAGCATTCCCTTTGAAATCCGGCACTAGACAAAAATGCCCTCTCTCACCACTCCTATTCAATGTAGTATTGGAAGTTCCAGCCAGAGCAATCAGGCAAGGAAAAGAAATAAAGGGTATTCAAATATGAAAGGAGGAAGCCAAATTGTCTCTATTTGCAGATGACATGATAGTATACCTAGAACACCCCATCGTCTCAGCCCAAAATCTCCTGAAACTGATAAGCAACTTCAGCAAAGTCTCAGGATACAAAATCAATGTGCAAAAATCACAAGCATTCCTATACACCAATAACAGACTGAAAGAGAGTCAAATCAAGAATGAACTACCATTCGCAATTGCTACAAAGAGAATAAAATACCTAGGAATACAACTAACAAGTAACATAAAGGACCTCTTCAAGGAGAACTACAAACCACTTCTCAAGGAAATAAGAGAGGACACAAACAGATGGAGAAACAGTCCATGTTCATGGTTAGGAAGAATCAATATTGTGAAAATGGCCATACTGCCCAAAGTAACTTACAGATTCAACGTTATCCCCATCAAGCTACCAATGACCTTCTTCACAGAACTGGAAAAAACCACCTTAAACTTCATATGAAACCAAAAGACAGCCCACATAGCCAAGTCAAGTCTAAGCAAAAAGAACACAGCGGGAGGCATCACACTACCAGACTTCAAACTATACTACAAAGCTACAGTAATCAAAACAGCATGGTACTGGTACCAAAACAGAGATATAGACCAATGGAACAAAACACAGGCATCGGAGGCAATACAACATATCTACAACCATACAATCTTTGATAAACCTGACAAAAACAAGCAATGGGGAAAGGATTCCCTGTTTAATAAATGGTGTTGGGAAAACTGGCTAGCCATGTGCAGAAATCAGAAACTGGACCCCTTCCTGACACCTTACACTAAAGTTAACTCCAGATGGATTAAAGACTTAAACATAAGACCTAACACCATAAAAACCCTAGAAGAAAACATAGGCAAAACCATTCACGACATAGGTGTAGGCATGGACTTCATGACCAAAACACCAAAAGCATTGGCAACAAAAGCCAAAATAGACAAATGGGACCTAATCAAACTCCACAGCTTCTACACAGCAAAAGAAACAGTCATTAGAGTGAATCGGCAACCAACAGAATGGGAAAAAATTTTTGCGATCTACCCATCTGACAAAGGGCTGATATCCAGAATCTACAAAGAACTCAAACAGATTTACAAGAAAAAAAACAAACAACCCCAACCGAAAGTGGGCAAAGGATATGAACAGACACTTTACAAAAGAAGACATATATGAGGCCAAAAAACTTATGAAAAAATGCTCACCATCACTGGTCACTAGAGAAATGCAAATCAAAACTACATTGAGATACCATCTCATGCCAGTTAGAATGGCGATCATTAAAAAATCTGGAGACAACAGATGCTGGAGAGGATGTGGAGAAAAAGGAACACTTTTACACTGTTGGTGGGAGTGTAAATCAGTTCAACCATTGTGGAAGACAGTGTGGCGATTCCTCAAGGCCTTAGAAATAGAAATTCCATTTGACCCAGCAATCCCATTACTGGGTATATATCCAAAGGACTATAAATAGTTCTACTATAAGGACACATGTACACGAATGTTCATTGCAGCACTGTTTACAATAGCAAAGACCTGGAATCAACCCAAATGCCCATTGATAATAGATTGGATTGGAAAAATGTGGCACATATACACCATGGAATATTATGCAGCAATCAGAAATGATGAGTTTGTGTCGTTTGTAGGGACACGGATGAATCTGGAGAACGTCATCCTCAGCAAACTGACACAGAACAGAAAATGAAACACCGCATATTCTCACTCATAGGCGGGTGATGAAAAATGAGAACACATGGACACAGAAAGGGGAGTACTAAACACTGGGGTCTATTGGGGGGAAAAGGGGAGGGCCAGTGGGAGGGGGAGGTGGGGAGGGATAGCCTGGGGAGAAATGCCAAATGTGGGTGAAGGGGAGAAGAAAAGCAAAGCACACTGCCATGTGTGTACCTACGCAACTGTCTTTCATGCTCTGCTCATGTACCCCAAAACCTAAAATCCAATAAAAAATTAAAAAAAAAAAAAAAAAAAAAAAAAGAATGGCGATCATTAAAAAATCTGGAGACAACAGATGCTGGAGAGGATGTGGAGAAATAGGAACACTTTTATACTGTTGGTGGGAGTGTAAATTAGTTCAACCATTATGGAAGACAGTGTGGCGATTCCTCAAGGACCTAGAAATAGAAATTCCATTTGACCCAGTAATCCCATTACTGGGTATATAGCCAAAGGATTACAAATCATTCTGCTATAAGGACACATGCACTTGTATGTTCACTGCAGCACTGTTTACAATGGCAAAGACTTGGAACCAACCCAAATGCCCATCAATGATAGACTGGACAGGGAAAATGAGGCACATATACACCATGGAATACTACGCAACCATAAAAAATGATGAGTTCGTGTCCTTTGTAGGGACATGAATGAACCTGGAAACCATCATTCTCAGCAAACTGACACAAGAACAGAAAATCAAACACCACATGTTCTCACTCATAGGCAGGTGTTGAACAATGAGAACACATGGACACAGGGAGGGGAGCATCACACACTAGGATCTGTCAGGGGGGAAATAGGTAAGGGACAGTGCGGGGTGGGGAGCTGGGGAGAGATAGCACGGGAAGAAATGCCAGATATAGGTGATGGGGAGGAAGGGAGCAAACCACATTGCCATGTGTGAACCTATGCAACAATCTTGCATGTTCTTCACATGTACCCCAAAATCTAAAATGCAATTTAAAAAAACAAACAAACAAACAAAAAGAATCCTTCTTGTATGCGGGTCTCTCTCTCCTCCTTACTTACATCATTATATAAAATTGCCTGTCTCACAAGTTATGCTTTCCATAAAATGGCCTCTTATATCCTATTTTGTTTTAATATCTATAATGGCCTTGGGTTTGCCATAATGATATTATTATTTACGGCATCTAATATGCTATGATTCTCAGATTCTAGACTTAGCACCCTCCTAAAAAAGGAGAACAAGAACAGAAATAAAAAAATACCTATAATTAAAAGGTGGGAGGCCATCTGCAAATCTTGAAGTGAGAGGATTTCCATCTTTATCATGGTAGAATGCAAACAGTCCAGCAGAGAAACCCTATAAGAAAGAGTTCAAAATGTCTGAAAGCGAAAAATATCAAGCCTAATTACAGGCCTGTGATCAAAAGAGAGCACTGATACTGGTACATAAAAGCACCATGCCAATACTGCAATAGGAACTTAACATACATTGTAAATGAACAGAAATTCAGTGTTCCATATTTATAAATTTTAAATTCAAATTACTTTAGGTAAATATTTCTATAATTATAATTATATATCCAGGTACATTAGAGTTTTAAAACCATAAAGAGCACCAGCTGTTGTGTTTTTAATTGCTGTGTGTGTGTGTGTGTACATTATAAAGTGGTTCTGAAAGTCTGTCTGCTTTTTAAAGTTATCCTGCCTTCTTATATATATAGAAGAATCCTCCCAAAGTGCTGTGATTACAGGTGAGAGCCACCACTCCCAGCCCTTCTTCCTGTTTTGAAAATGTATCAGGTATCACTTCTGAACAAGAGCTGGACAGGAGCTGAAATGACAGAAGCAGTACACTGAAATGCATGGCCAAGACTGACAATTGCTTACATTAAGTAATTACAAATTACTGTGAAGACAAACATTTGTATATGCTCAAATACACATGTAAAAAATTATTTAGCTGACAATTTCCTTTCCTTTAATTTGAGAAAGTGGTAAGTCATCACTACTTCCTCCCTATAAGGATTTTCACATGGTTATCAGAAGTGGCAGCAGAAGGGCTGGGCACAGTGGCTCATGCCTGTAATCAAGCACTTTGGCAGGAGGATCACTTGAGCCCAGGATTTCAAGACGAGCCTGGGCAACATGGCAAGACCCCATCTCTACTTAAAATACAAAAATTAGCAGAGCATGATGGTGCGTGCCTGTGGTCCCAGCTACTCTGGAGGCTGAGGTGAGAGGATTGCTTGCTGGATTACAGGCGTGAGCTCCCTGCTCTAATCTCAACACTTTGGGAGGCTAAGACGGGAGGATCACTTGAACCCAGCAGTTTCAGGCTGCAGTGAGCTGTGACAGTGCCTTAAAAAACATGGTGATCATTAAAAACGAGGTCAACAGATCGAGACCATCCTGGTCAACATGGTGAAACCCCGTCTCTACTAAAAATACAAAAAAAAAAAAATTAGCTGGGCACGGTGGCGTGTGCCGCCTGTAATCCCAGCTACTCAGGAGGCTGAGACAGGAGAATTGCCTGAACCCAGGTGGCGGAGGTTGCGGTGAGCCGAGATTGCGCCATTGCACTCCAGCCTGGGTAACGAAAGCGAAACTCCATCTCAAAAAAAAAAAAAAAAAAAAAAAAAAAAAAAAAATCTGGAGACAACAGATGCTGGAGAGGATGTGGATAAATAGGAACACTTTTACACCTTTGGTAGGAGTGTAAATTAGTTCAACCATTGTGGAAGACAGTATGGAGATTCCTCAAGGATCTAGATATAGAAATTCCATTTGACCCAGCAATCTTACCCAAAGAATTATAAATCGTTCTATTATAAAGACACATGCACATGTATGTTCTCTGCGGCACTGTTTATAATAGCAAAGATCTGGAACCAAACCAATTGCCCATCAATGATAGACTGGACAAAGAAAATGTGGCACATATATACCATGGAATACCATGAAGCTATAACATTAAAAAGGATGAGTTCATGTCCTTTAAAGGGACGTGGATGAATCTGGAAACCATCATTCTTAGCAAACTGACACAAGAACAGAAAACCAAACACTACATGTTCTCACTCATAGGCTGGTATTGAACAATGAGAACACATGGACACAGGGAGGGGAATGTCACACACTGGGGTCTGTTGGGGGCTGGGGGGTAGGGGAGGGATAGCGGGGCGTGGGGAGGTTGGAGAGGGATAACACTGGGAGAAATGCCTGAGGTTGGTGAAGGGAAATGGAGACAGCAAACCACCACAGCATGTGTGTACCTATGCAACAATCCTGCAAGATCTGCACATGTACCCCAGACCTTAAAGTACAATTAAAAATAATAATAATAAAATGCTTTAAAAAAGAAATTGATTATTAGGGAATATGTCTCTATATAAAAAATGCTTAGTTAATGTATGAAGAACCAATTACCCTACCTTTAACTTTGTAGCCAAATTAATTTTTAATATTTAATACTTTAGCTAAATTTATCTAAGATCAGAGATGTGAAATATTTATAGAGAAAGAGCTGATGATGAACTCAGTAACAAATCCCATGGTTTCACTTGTAACAACCAAGGCCTCTAGGTTGCTTGTATAAATCTGATAGCTATAAATTCAGAGGTAAAATGAAATAGAGGGATTTAAAAAAAAAACATGAACCCAAGATTAAAACGACTACCAAAGAGACTAGTTAAATTAGATTAGTCCCCTCGCAGCAGTCACTGACGACATTTTATAAGAACAAACAGTACAGCATGGAGTAACAAAGCAAGAAAGCAGTCTGATGGAGGTGACACTCGCGACAGCTTTTCTCATGGTTTTGCGTTTTTCTCTGAAGCACAAACTCTCTGCTCATACCCCTATGTGTCATAACTGACTAAGCCAATGAATTGGCTTCCATATAAGTTCACTTTTTTAAATTTGTAAAGTAGAAAAATGAAAGGGCAGTTCTTCTTTACTATAAAACTAGTGAAACTTATTTTTGCAAGCTAAAACTATACCTGTGCTGAAGATAAAGTACTGTGGAAGGTCTAAAACTATTAACAAGTACAAATCAAATCTGATTTTGTAAATAAAAATATTTCATGGGGGGATAAAAAAAATCAGCAGCAGCCCAGGGTTCAGCCATATCCATAGACTTTCATCGTCCTTTCAGCATCATTAATTCTTAAATCTTAGAATTTTAAAAGAGGAAAAATCTTTATAAATCTTTTTGTTTGTTTGTTTGATACAAGGTCTGCCTCTATCACCAGGCTGGAGTGTAGTGGCACAATCTTGGTTCACTGCAGCCTCGACCTCCCCGGGCTCAAGCCATCCTCCCACCTCAGCCTCCCAAGTAGCTGCTAGGACCACAGGTGCGTCCCACCAGACCCCGCTAATTTTTGTATTTTTATTGAACATGAATCTAAGAATCCACATCATCTTAAAATGCAATATATGTATAAAAATGATAACACACTAAGCAGAAAATCGAGGCATGAAGGAAAGAACAGTAACAGTAGAATTTACCAGGGCATGAATAATCTCATGTTTCACTGTGGACAACATCCCAATAAACTCCTGAGGCTGAGTAGAGATCATATTTGGACACAGGTTAGCATATCCTGCTATTGGCCTGTCAAAACAGACATTGAATTTTTAAATTATATTACAGAACAATATTTATTAACACTTACTTCTCCATCAAACACTGCTCAAGGACAGAGAAATCTTTGCCAAATATCAAATGTTACTTTGTACCATCACTATCTTTTACTTTCAAGACATGTATCCTCTGCTTTCCTATAGCATGGCAAATCAACGCCTGTTTCCGCAAAAGGGCATCACTGATTATACTTTAAAATGAACTTTTGGAATATATCAATATAATGCCCAAAAATGAATGAACTCAAAGGCTCAAATTCTAACACCATTTTACTTGCAAAATCCATATCTGACTTCAGCATTTCATCTACGGGCACAGAGACAAGCAGGTAGAGAGGGAAACCAGTTATAAAATGGGGCAATCAGTGAATGGCTCAGGCTGCTGAAAGCTGTTGACCCTTCTCATCTCTGTTTGCTATTCCCTTTCTCCTGCTCCAACACTCGTACATTCACATAAATATTTCTACCTTCCCACCATCTTCTTCCAAATCCTACACCATTTAGAATCTACACACTTCTACAATCTCTCTCTGTGCCTAGAACCTGAGAGTCCAAGGGCAGACTAGGACTCAAGAGTCCAGAGTAATTCAGTTCCAACATGCACCTACCTGTCTTTCAAAAGCTGTGGCCAATGAACAATGCTAAACAACCCCAAACTCAGTTCTCCTACCACTATCTTAACATTTCACATGGATATACCACAAAGATCATCAAAGTATAATTGCCTATTTACAAAGTACATTTATCTTATTTAAATTTTTAAAATACTGTATATTTTCTTCATAGATAAGAGTAACAGACTTAGAATTAGAAGAAGTATAACTACAATTCATTTATTTAAAAATTGCCACAGAGACCTGTAAAATACAAAATGGGTTTCACTTCCAGGCTTAAAACTCTTCGGCGGCTTCCTACAGCACTCAGAATAAAACAATCCTGTCTGCCTCTCCAAGAACTTGTCCTCCAACCAGTGTCCACTGAAGTGGCTTCTGACAGCAACAGGTACACATGGCTTTTGCCTTGCATAAGCTCTTCACACATCTTTTTATTTGGCTAAAGCCTATCAATGTTCACGTTGCAGCTGAAGTTTCCCTTTTTCAAAGAGGTCTTCCTTGCTCAATTGATCTACAAGCCTTTTATTCTATTCTGTGTGACAGCATTCTATTTATTTTCTACAAAGTATTTATCATACTTTGAAATCACATGTTTATTTGCCGGAATATTTAATACCTGTCTCCCTCTGTAATCCCTAAGTTCCATGAGGCAGGTACACATGAACATCCCGTTTACCTAGTCTGTTGGCCACTCAAATATTCGTGAAATCAATTAATGCAATATAGCAATTCTAAGGGAAGGTTTCACTTCCCTGAAAAAGAATAACTTAAAGCCAGGGGCAGTGCTCATCCCTGTCATCCTAGCACTTTGGGAGGCCAAGCCAGGCAGATCACCAGAGGTCAGGAGTTTGAGACCAGTCTGATGAACATGGTGAAACCTTGTCTCTACTAAAAATACAAAAATTAGCCAGATGTTTTAGTTTGCACCTGTAGTCCCAGCTACTCGGGAGGCTGAGGCAAAATAATTGCTTGAACCCAGGAGGTAGAGGCTACAGTGACCTGAGATTGTGCCACTGCACTCCAGCCTGGGCGACAGAGCGAGACACCATCTTAAAAAAAAAAAAAAAAAGATAACTGCTTTTTCTCATAACAAATCTAGGAGAAGTCAGTATAACTAATTCATGTGCATGAAAGGACCATTGCTAAGGTGTTAAACATCTATCTATTGGTCAAAAGGCTCAAATTCTAACACAAAATTCATGAATTGGTCAAAATCCTAGAACTCTGGGAGGCCAAGGCAGGCAGATTACCTGAGGTCAGGAGTTAGAGACCAGCCTGGCCAACATACTGAAACCCTCATCTCTACTAAAAATAAGAAAATGAGCCGGGCGTGGTGGTCCATGCCTGTAGTTCCAGCTACTGGGGAAGTGGAGGCAGGAGAATCACTTGAACCAGGCAGGTGGACGTTGCAATGAGCCGAGATCACACCATAGCACTCCAGCCTAGGTGACAGAGAGAGACTCCATCTCAAAAAAATAGCTGACTCTCTTCGAAGTCAGTTCATCTCAACTCTAACCTCACCTAGATTTGAGAATGTTACATACAATCTATTCTGAGACATAGAGCAATTTCTACCGCCTTTAATTAATTTGTCTGGTATGCAACAGGCAATCTTCTGCATATCTCACTTTTCATTTCGAGGCTGGGCTGCTTCACAGGAAAATTTTTTGAAACCTTTTGTAAATAAAGAGAACTCTGAATTTTCAAGTGATATTTAACTAAGTGAATCACATATAACAAATGATAATTAGATGATCAGTCATTATTAACATTTTAACAGTTTTAGCACAGAAGGTGCTAAAATTAAAGTTCAAGTTGTTTCCTTAGGTGTTAGTCACCTGGACAGAAAATTCTCTTGACAGTAGACTTTTTTATGTATTTATTTTTGGACACAGGGTCTGGCTCTGGGGCCCAGGCTGCAGTGCATGTGGCACAATCACAGCTCTCTGTGACTTACAACTCCCAGGCTCTAATGATCCTCCCATCTCAGCCTCCTGAATAGCTGGACTACCTGATAGCTGGTGGCGCATGCCATCACTCCTGGCTAATTTTTGTATTTTTTTTTAAGAGATGGAGTTTCACCACGTTGCCCAGGCTAGTCTCAACCTCTTGAGCTCGAGTGATCCTCCCACCTCAGCCTCCCAAAGAGCTGGAATCACAGGCATGAGCCACCGCACCTGGCCTTTTGTTTTTCTCTTTTGTGGGGGACAAGGTTTCACTCTGTTCCCCAGGCTGCAGTGCAGTGGCATGATCACAGCTTATTGTAGCCTCAACCTCTCAGGCTCAAGCAATCCTCCCACTTCAGCCTCCTGAGTAGCTGGAACCACAGAAGCATGCCACCATGCCTGGCTAATTTTGTTTATTTTTTTAAAAGATGAGGTCTGAGGCCGGGCGCGGTGGCTCACGCCTATAATCCCAGCTCTTTGGGAGGCTGAGGTGGGTGGATCACGAGGTCAAGAGATCAAGACCATCCTGGTCAACGAGGTGAAACCCCGTCCCTACTAAAAATACAAAAATTAGCTGGGCATGGTGGTGCGCGCCTGTAGTCCCAGCTACTCGGGAGGCTGAGGCAGGAGAATTGCTTGAACCCAGAAGGCGGAGGTTGCGGTGAGCCGAGATCGTGCCATTGCACTCCAGTCTGGGTAACAACAGCGAAACTCCGTCTCAAAAAAAAAAAAAAAAAAAGATGAGGTCTGTGTTGCCCAAGCTGGTCTCGAACTCCTGGGCTCAAGTGGTCCTCCCACCTCAGCCTCCCAAAGAGCTGGGATTACAGGTGTGAGCCACCGCACCAGGCTCACTTGACAGCAGACTTATTCTCTGGAATATCAGCAAAAACAATAGGATCAAGATGGAAGAGGAATGGCAGAGAGAAAAGTCAAATGAAGTGTTTGACTTTTCTCTCACTTTGACTAAAAACTTGGGTTACCACATTAGTTACAGTCTAATCACTCGCCTAACGCCGCTCCAAATCCAGGCAGCGTGCTATTTCTACCAAAGGCAGTCTGGCAAATGTAAGATTCCTGTAATCTTAACACTAAAAATACAGTTTGCTTTAAGAGTTCCCATATTAGATCTTAGAAACTACGTCTCAGAGGAAGGTTTACCTGTCCATGTTTGCTTCCTGCTGACAGTAGGCTGCATAAGAGATGATGTTTTCATGGCTGCACCTCTCAGTGGCCAGAGCACCAACGTAAAGTACAAAGTCTGCATCCGGGATGCCTTCTTGGTCTGGCGCACCCACTGCTCCATGGGGCCACTTACCCCCACGGTAGACCCTGCATTGCTGCACCCACAGGGACAACAGAAAGCCAGACCAGAGACAAAGTTAGCTATAGTGACATTTAATCTTACAGTAAAATCTACACTGTAAACACAGTACAATTATATCTTGATTATCTCTTAACTTATATCAAAATCCACACCTCCTTGTCTACTCAATGCCTAGCTCTGATTCTGGATTTATTTTACTGAAATGTCTACTTTACATAAAATGATCATAAACCTATAACCTCAATTAAATAACAGCTATTACAAAGGAAGGCCAACCAAACACGGTGCTAAAAAGACAGAAATATACAAGGTTTTAAAACAAAACTAGATGAAGGGATTTTCCTATATGGAACTTTTTTTTTTTTTGCAACTTTCTTTCAATCTACAGTTAATTCTAAACTAAGTGGTAAAATTAACTAAGTGGTAGAACTTTTTTATCTAATGGAAATATATTTCCTATTATAATTCACATCTTGTTAAAAATTCAAATAATCTAAAGGTATGTAAGGTAAAGTCAAAGTCATCTCATGATATTACCCTTGTTTCTAATCTTCTAAGCAAATCTTTTATTATAAAAAAATTTTTTTGAGATATATAGATGGGGTCTCAATATATTGACCAGGCTGGTCTTGAACTCCTGGCCTCAAGCAATCCTCCCATCTTGGCCTCCCAAAGTGCAAGAGTTAAGGGATTACAGGCATGAGTCACCACGTCCTGCCCAGTAAATCTTATTTTCCTCTGTAATAGTTGCTTTTTTGAAAGCTACTTCTATCAAAATTCCCAAATAATCATAATCTCCAAATCAGAAACAGAAAGATCAGTAAATTGTTATTATTTAAGGTCTAAGCAATGCGTATAGAGGGGAAAAAAAAAATTCTCATTTCATTTAATAGAAAATACACATTGTTTATTTTTCATTCTCTAACACATGCATTTATAATTTTTAAAATCCATTACTATAGGGGTTGGAGTTGAGGAGATGTTGGTCAAAGAATATGTGTTTACAGTTAGAGGAGTAAGTTCAAGAGACCTATTGTAAAGCACAGTGACTGGTTAATGACAACATTCTGTGTTCTTATTTATTTATTTTGTTTGTTTGTTTTGAGACAGAGTCTTGTCCAGGCTGGAGTGCAGTGGTGTGACCTTGGCTCACTGCAACATCCACCTCCCAGGTTGAAGCAACTCTCCCTGCCTCAGCCTCCAGAGGAATTGGATCTACAGGGGCCCGCCACCATGTCCGGCTAATTTTTGTATTTTTAGTAGAGACAGGGTTTTGCCATGTTGGCCAGGCTGGTCTTGAATTCCTGACTTCAGGTGATCTGCCCACCTCACCCTCCCATAATTCTGGGATTACAGGCGTGAGCCACCACACCAGGCCTTGTATTTTTTTTTTTTAAGCAATAGCTTAGCTTAGGCATAATCTGAGATATTCTTATTCATTTATTTATTTTTGAGTCAGGGTCTCACTCTGTTGCCCAGGTTGGAGTTTAGTGGGAAGATCATAGCTCACAACAACCTCCACCTCCCCGACTCAAGCAATCCTCCCACCACAGCCTCCCAAGTAGCTGGGACCACAGGCGCATACCACCATGCCTGGCTAATTTTCCATAGAAACAGGGTTTCACCATATTGCCAAGGGCAGTCTTGAACTTCTGGAGTCAAGCAATCTGCCTGCTTTGGCCTTCCAAAGTGCTGGAACTATAGGTATGAGCTACTGTGCCCAGTCTTAATTTTTTATTTTTTTGATATAAGTAATATTCAATATGAAAAATCAGAACATCACAAAAATCTCCATAACTTACTAAAGAAAAGCACTTTCCCCAACAATCTCTTAAAGAGCACCATTAACATTTTTACATAGATCCAGATTTAACGTGTATACTTCCACACTGTTTGATAATTTTTTATTTTGTTTCCATACTTTCAAATAAAATGGGCTAAAAATAAAAAGAATTTTGCAATCTCTTTTTTTTAAATAAGAGCTTAAATTTCTTTCCAAGTCGGTTCATAGAGATTTACTTCATTTTTTAACAACTGTACAGTATTCTACTTCCATAACTTAACTAATACCCTAAATAGGCATATTTATAGTTTTGCAAAGAATATCCCTGAACATATATTACTCAGCCATTAGTATTTGATGCAGTAAATTTCTAGGTTGCGTTGAAGCATACATATTTTTTAATCTTAAGAGATGTCAGACTGTCCTTTAAAAAACTGAGATATATACCTGGCCAAAAGAGATTTTGGAAGAGAAACATAACGTTCTAAGCTGAACTGATTCAGCAGATCAGCATAAATAGAGGTGGGGAGGCCTGCAGGGAGGAGTGAAGAAAGAAAATATAATTAAACTCACTTGAAAGCTAATGAAAGAATGAAATCAGCATATCTAACTGTGATTACTTTTTGTAGACCAAGGAACCTACTAAGACTTTGACCTTGAATCTGTAAAAATGATGTGACACTCACAAATTAAAATCTCAAGTGTAAAAACATTGCTAAGAGCAGGATGAAATACCTGGAGATGTTCCTCTGGAACAATAACTGGGCCGCATTTTGTGTGCACTGCACACTCCCCAGTGCAGTATCTATGAGGATCGTTTTCCTTCCGGAGGTACTGGTTTGTTGCACATTGCCTTTAGTTCATTTGTATATCAAAGTTTAAATACAAAAAAGAGAATATTACATAGCAGTTAAAAACATGGTCATCAACTGGTAGCTGCTGTTACTTCATTAATAATGTTACTATTTTAGTTAGGAAAGTAACTAAGAAAGAATTTGGGTTCTATAGAAAATTTGGGTTTCTAAATGATTTGAGTTTTTAAATACCCAAATACTTCATATAAAGCTAACACTGTATACACATGAACATGGGGAAAGGGGATTTGGAGGACAGAGGACAACCATATCCCAGAAAAAATTCAGAATTCCTGAATTCTGGGAGAGAGATCCAAGATGGCTGATCACTAACAGTTCGGGATTGTAGCTCCCAGTGAAAGCGCAGAGAACGAGAGGACGCCACACTTTCAGATGAATTTTCATCACTCACGGACCAGAAGATTCCCAGTGGAGGGGCCCCACGGGTTGCCAGAACAACTCTTGTGGCCGGCGCAGCAGTTTTGCTGGCACCTCAGCGCGGCAGCTCTTCATGCAGAGTAAAGGGGAGGAGATTCCCGGGCAGAAGAGCACCAGCAGTCTTATCGCTGCTGTTTTGGCCGGCACAGTGGGTTGCTTGGATTCCAGTGCTGGGAATCAATAAACTGGGCATCCACTCAGAAACCCAACTAGAAAGGCGGTAATTGTAAAGACGACAGATGGATAAATTTATAACAAAGGGAAGAAACCAGCCTAAAAAGGCTGAGAATACCCAAAATCAGAACCCCTCTCCCTCTACAGGGGATTACAGTTCCTCATCAGCAATGGAACAAGCCCTGATAGAAAAGGACTGTGTGCCATTAGCAGAAGTAGGCTTCAGAAGGTGGATGATAAGAAACTTCTGGGAGTTAAAAAAAACTTGTTCTAACCCAATGTAAAGAAACTAAGAACTCTGAAAAAAGGTTTGATGAAATGCTAACAAGAATAGACAATTTGGGGGGAATATAAATGAACTAACAGAGTTGAAAAACACAACACAAAAACTTAGCGAAATATGCACAAGTTTGAATAACCAAATTGATCAAGCAGAATAAAGGATACCAGAGGTCGAAGACCAACTTAATGAAATAAAACGAGAAGACAAGAATAGAGAAAAAAGGGTAAAAAGGAATGAGCAAAGTCTCCAAGAAATATGGGACTATGTGAAAAGACCTAATTTACGTATTCAGGTACACCTGAATGAGGTGTACAAAGAGAATGAATCCAAGCTGGAATATACTCTTCAGGATATTATTCAGGAAAACTTTCCCAATCTAGCAAAGCAGGACAATATTCAACCCCAGGTAATACCGAGAACACCACAAAGATATTCCTCAAGAAGAGCAACCCCAAGGCACATAATCGTTAGATTCACCAGGGTTGAAACGATGGAGAAAATACTGAGGGAAGCCAGAGAGAAAGGTCAGGTTACCCACAAAGGGAAGCCTATCAGACTTACAGCAGACCTCTCAGCAGAAACCCTGCAAGCCAGAAGAGAGTGGGGGCTGATATTCAACATCCTTAAAGAACAGAACTTTCAGCCCAGAATTTCATATCCTGCCAACCTAAGCTTCACAATTGAAGGAAAAATAAAATCTTTTATGAACAGGCAAGTACTCAGAGATTTTATTACCACCAGGCTGGCTTTACAAGAGCTCCTGAAAGCAGCATTATACACAGAATGGAACAACCAGTATTAGCCTTTCTAAAAATATACCAAAAAGTAAAGAGCATCAACATCAACAAGCATCAACATGAAGAAGAATTTACATCAACGAATGGATAAAATAGCCAGTTAACATCAAATGGCAGTAACCCTAAATTTAAGTCGACTAAATCCCCCAATCAAAAGATACAGCCAAAACCTAACGGTATGCTACATCCAGACCCATTTCACATCCAAAGATACACGAAGTCTTAAAACAAAGGGATGGAGAAAGATTTACCAATCAAATGAAGAGCAAAAATAAATAAATAAATAAAAAGCAGGAGCTGCAATTCTCGCATCTGATAAAATAGATTTCAAAGCAACAAAGATATAGTGGTAAAAGGATCAATGCAACAATAAGAGCTAACGATCCTAACACCCAGATACATAAGACTCATAAAGAGATTTAGACTGAACGAGACAGAAAATTGATGTGAGGACAACCAGGACTTTAACTCAGATCCGGAACAAGTAAACTCAATAAATATTTACAGAGCTCTCCATTTTAAATACACAAAATATACATTCTCCACCTTAAATACACAAAATATTGATCGGCCATTATTAATACCCATTTTTAGAATAAAGCTATATTCCCATTCTCTCTCCCTCTTTTTCTTCCTCTCCTTCACTCCTTTTTTTCCCTTTCTTTAAAAAAAAGAAAAAAGAAAAAATCCTTAGCCATCATCTCTTCAAAAGAAAAAAAAAAAAATTCAGTAGGCCATCACATAATGAAAGATCAGGGAAAGAATGATTATCCAGCAGATGCATTTTTATTCTTTTAAAATAACTTGCAGTTTGGTCTCTAAGAACAAGCATAACAAAATTCTAGTATAAGCTTCACATCTTGCCATATTCATAGAATGGGAACGGCAGAGTACTAAGTGGCTGAAGAAAATCATCTGTATTTAATGTGACGTACCTGCTAAGTAAGATAGTGCCAGCAGGTCTACGGACCTGAAAAGTCTTCTCTAAATAAGAAATAGCTTGTGGGAAAAGCTTGTTCTAAATAAAAGTTAAAAAAAGTAGTTAGAATTATAAGGAAGAGATAAATTATATTTAAAACAAGCAAGCACAGGATATTAATGACTAAGGGGACAAAAGGAAAACACTTTATAATTATGGAAAGAGACACTAGTTAGTCAGGGTTGTAGAGCAAGGGGCAGGAAAAGAGTAAGTCTAGTAGGAAAAGAATTTCCCCCATTTTCTAGTTCAGCTTGGGAAAATAGTACTAGGTAGAAATTTCCTTCCCTAATCCCATTTAAATAGAAAACCAGAAAATCAAAAATATATATCTCAACTATTTTTTATTTTTAATTAAATATTAATTTCCTTCAATACTACACCTTTAACAAAACTGCAATATATCTCAACTATATTAATCTAGATTACTAAGAATGACAGACTGACTTAGATGATTCCAACACTAAAATACTTTATGTTAAGAAAATCTTATGTTTAATTAAACTCACCAATTTCTGTGGCCCATAGTGAACTGGCTTTGTATGTCTGCATGTGTGTGTGTGTGTGTATACATGTGTGTGTGTGTGTGTGTGTCTCCATATAGTTAAAAATCTAATGTGGTTATCAGGTCAATCTTCAGGAAAATAAACATTTCCACCAAGAGAACAGTGTTCTCAATGTATTTCAAAAATTGTCTTTTTCACCCTATTCTCTGAATGATTTGCTCCCCAAAAACCTGAGAGAGCAAGCAATAAAAGGAGAAGACTAATTAACAAATTATTTTAAAATGACTAATTTAATGCCAAATACCAATGAGGTTTTTATGAGTGCATAACAAAGACACCTTTAAAAAATACTTTCACTACCAACACCTTTTATTCAGTCATTCACAAAAGTCATGTATATGTTTTACTTTACTGAAGTAGAATTTACATATAATCAAATTGTAAATGTCCAATTCAAGCTACGAGTCTTTACTACATACCTTTACGAGATTTTTTTTCTCAGGGAGCAACCTGAAAATAATGACATAAAAACATAAGAATTACCTGTCAGAGGCATAGCACCATCTCATCTGTTCAGAATGCATCTGTCAAGAGCCCCAAGGAATCCTATATGCATAAAATAAATAACTTTCCAAAATTTCAACTTACCTCATTGAGTATTTGAGAGTTGACTCTGTGCCACAACATGATACTAAGCATGATCATGTCATCTCGTTCATTTGGAATGTTAAGGGTAGGGAAAGATATCACCCACCTCTAACAGCTCTTCATGAACTGCTGTGAATGCATAATGTATCTGTTTTCTGGATCCCACTTACATGAAATAAAAATCACACTACTCTCTCTGATTAACAATTTCATAAACTTTCTTATTATTATTATTTATATTAGTACTTATTTTTCCCTCCAAGTGTCAGAGATGTTTGAACCAGAGCAATTCCATCTTGAGTAGTGGCTGGGTAAAATAAGGCTGAGACCTAATGGGCTGTATTCCTGGATGATTAGGCATTCTAAGTCGCAGGATGAGACAGGAGGCCAGCACAAGATACAGGTCATAAAGACTCTGCTGATGAAACAGGTTGCAATAAGGAAGCCGGCTAAATCCCACCAAAACCAAGATGGCGACAAGAGTGACCTCTGGTCATCCTCACTGCTACACTCCCACCGACACCATGACAGTTTGCAAATGCCACGGCAATGTCAGGAAGTTACCCTATATGGTCTAAAAGAGGGGAGGCATGAATAATCCACCCCTTCGTTAGCATGTAATTAAGAAATCACCTAAGAAATGGGCAACCACAGCCCTGCAGGCTGCTTTGCCTATGGAGTAGCCATTCTTTTATTCCTTTAGTTTTCTAATAATCTTGCTTTCACTTTACTCTATGGCTTTGCTTGGAATTCTTTCCTGTGAGAGACCCAAGAATCCTCTCTTGGGGGTCTGGAACAGGACCTCTTTCTGGTAACACAAGTTCTTAATTGAAGAGAACTCTCAGGTCTATTACTGTCCACTCCAAGTAGATGCACATTTGTTCTGTTTAAATTTTTCATGATTCACCAGGAAAGGAAGATGGAATAAAGAAAATTATTCATGATATATAGACTTTAATCATATCCCATGGCCTTCAGATTTTCAGACTGAAATGCATTTTCAGCTTAACTCCAATTTGAAGCTACACTAGTCCTTTTTAAGTTTTATCTACAGACGTTTAAAACTTCAGGTAACAGGTGAAAATATCTTTAATATTCAGATTAATAATGAAAAAGATGACAATATAATGGTGTACTTACTCTTCGACACTTTTATCATAAACAGTCTTGATTCTTAAATGCTCATCAACATCTCTCTTTACTACATGATTTGCCTTAAGATGAACTTTATTTATGACCTGAAAAAAGGGAACAGATTTGAAAATTTTTTAAAAATACATATAGATTAACCCATTGAGATCTAAAGTTAAAATTAACGAACTAAATTTCAAGTACAATACACAGAGAAAAAGTCCCTTGGCCCATATTCCACCATTTCAGCCTTTTTTTTTTTTTTTTTTTCTGAGACAGAGTCTTGCTCTGTCGCCAGGCTGGAGTACAGTGGTGCAATCTCGGCTCACTGCAACCTCCGCCTCCTGGGTTCAAGCGATTCTTTCGCCTCAGCCTCCTGAGTACCTGGGACCACAGGCACATGCCACCACACCTGGCTAATTTTTGTATTTTTGGTAGAGACGGGGTTTCACCATGTTGGCCTGGATGGTCTCGATTTCTTTACCTCGTGATCCGCCCACCTCGGTGTCCCAAAGTGCTGGGATTACAGGTGTGAACCACCACGCCAGGCCCATTTCAGCATTCTTAAACCTCAAAGATCTCTCAAACAAATGCTATCATTTGGAAGACAAGTACCATGAATTCAAGTCACATGACTAAATCATTATGGAAACAGTAGCCGTCAATAGGCTTTTAGGGTTCTCTGTCACTTATTTGTAGTTTCTTACATAAATTCCAGTTTTGCCAATTTCGGGTCTTTGGAAAATGATAGGAAGAAACCAAAAGTATCTTCAATTACTTTAAAATAGGACAAAAATTTATTTATGAATGAGTTTTTCATTTTGAATTTTTTTCTCCAGTTCTCATTTACCATTTACATAATTTTTTCAGGGATGAATAAAAAAAGACAAGAAAGGTTTCCGCAGTATCAACACTTTATGGAACTCTAAACGTATAGAAGAAAAAAATTGTGTTTGTTAAACTAAAAATGAACTATATAATATCTTATTAATATAATTCCAGCAATGAACAACCTGAACAATGAACAATCTGAAGATTTACACAAGAAAATAATTTTTATATTTTGTAGAAAAACAACTATATTGTATGTGTTTGATCTATTAATATAATATAGGAACATAGATTTTCACAATCCTTATTGCCTGCTCTACTACAATGGCCTGATACCCTACCTCCAGTCTTTCACTCATTCCATTCCAACCTATCCCCAGGTAGCAGATTATTTTATGGCCAATTAAAAAAACCATCAGAAAGGTCTGGGCACAGCAAATGGATATAGTTCATTTTAGGAACCCATCACATGACTAATCTCCCTGCAGATAACACAGTACAAAATCCGAACAAACTATAATCTCTAACAGTTCTTGGGGGAGGGAGAAAGACAGGAAGAATTTGGAAGAATCTACTGTTAGAATACAGGAATTATAACTCTGAGTCTAACTTTCTCCTGGGAGCACCCTACCCAGTCTGTATCTCCTGGAGTGGCAGGAGGTCAGAGCCTCACCCACTTGAGGAGCTACAGCAAAATGTTCAGAACTTGTATCACCAGAAAGTTAGAAGGAGAGAGGAAATCCTACAGGAGAAGAAGCCACAGAAGATACCCCAAAATCTGCATATGAAATCCAGTCAAATCCTTAACTGACCACTAGATTCCATGTCTGACTACAAAATTACAAATGTATGCAATAAAACCCAGCAAAGATTAACCATTGCCAACAATAGGAGATACAGAGTTTGGAATTTTGAACACAGTTAAGTTAAATGCCAGCTACCAAAACAAACAAACAAAACACAAAAAAATTCTTCAGAGAAATACAACAGAAACCAGATACTTTACAATGCATTATCTATGGTGTCCATTATTTAATAAAAAATCAGCAGCAAGGAGAGCAAAACGGAAAAATGTGACCCACACTGGGGAGAAAAAAGCAGGGAACAGAAACAGACCCTAAAATGACCTAAATGTAAACAATGCAGCTTAAATGTGTTCAGGGACTTAAAAGAAAACATACATATAATGAGTAAGTAGATGGGGAACCTCAGGAGAGAAACTATGAAAAGAACCAAATGGAAATTCTAGAGCTTAAAAGTATAACAACTAAAAAATTCTCTGGGGCTGGGTGCGGTGGCTCACACCTGTAATCCCAGCACTTTGGGAGGCCAGGCCAGTGGACCACTTGAGGTCAGGAGTTCCAGACCAGGCTGGCCAAAATGGCGAGACCCCGTCTCTACTGAAAATACAAAAATTAGTGGGCTATGGTGGTGCACACCTGTAATCCCAGCTACTCAGGAGGCTGAGGCATGAGAATCACTTGAATCTGGGAGGTAGAGATTGCAGTGAGTCAAAACCATGCCATCACCCTACCCTCCAGCCTGGGTGACAGAGCAAGACTCTGTTTCAAAAAAAAAAAAAAAATGCACTGAAAAGAATTAAAAGAATATTGGAGATGGCAGCAGCATCAGTGAACTTGAAGACAGATCTAGAGAAATTATCCAATCCAAAGAAGAGAAATATAAAAGACTAAAAAATAAAAAAAAACAGAGCCTCCGAGAATGGATACCACGCATTCTAACAGATATGAAATTAGAGTCCTACAAGGACAGGAGAAATTATATTTGAAAGAAATAACAGCTAAAAATGTTCAAATTTGGTGTAAGATACCAACTTATAGATCCAAGAAGTTCATAGACCTCAAGCAGGATAAAAACAAATAAGGGTGGGCATAGTGGCTCATGTCTGTAATACCAGCTCCTCAGGACGCTGAGGCATGAGTTGCTTGAAGCCAGGAGGTGGAGGTTTAAGTGAGCCAAGGTCGTGCCACTGCACTCCAGCCTGGGCAACAAAGCAAGACTCTGTCCTGTTAAAACACACACACACACACACACACACACCACACAGGTACATCACAGGCAAACTTAGGAAATCTGAAAATAAAATATTGAAAGCAATGAGGAAAAACAACACATTTGATATGGTTTGGCTCTGTATCCCCAATCAAATTTCATCTTGAATTGTAATCCCACGTTTGGAGGGAGGGAGGTGACTGGATCACAGGGATGTTTCCCTATGCTGTTCTCATGATAGTGAGTGAGTTTTCACAAGATCTGATGGTTTTATAAGCCTCTGGCATTTCCCGTGCTTGACCTTCTCTTTCCTGCTGCCATGTAAAGAAGGTCCTTGCTTCTCCTTCATCTTTCGCCATGATTTTAAGTTTCCTGAGGCCTCCCCAGCCAATGTGGAACTGTAAACCTTTCTCCTTTATAAATCACCCAGCCTTGGGTAGTATCTTTATAAGAGTCTGAGAACAAACAAATACAACATTATATATAGGAAGGGAAAAGAAGTACGAATGGCACTGACTTTCCATCAAGAACAGAAGACAATGAAATAAACAGTAAAGGGCTAAAAGAAACAAAATCAACACGGAAGTCTATATCCAATGAAACTACCCTTCAAAAATGAAGAGGAAATAAAGATGTTTCAGATAAATCTAAGAAAAATCCATCACCAGCAGACCTACACCACAGGAAATGCTAAAGGAAGTTCTTCATGGGAATGGAAATGACACTAAAGGGTAACCGGCTTCTGCAGGAAGGAATGAAGTCGACTAGAAATGGTAAACACATAAATAGATATGAAAGACTATTATGCAGAAGAGTCAACATGGCAGGTCAAAGATTGCTCTCTGTAGGAAGGCCCACTGGTAAGGCTGACGTTTTGCTGGCCTCTGGGAACCTGGATGGTAAGCACTTCCCTACACTGATCTAAAACTACACTAGGTTGTAAGGGTGGCTCATTGTATCTGAACTATTTGCAGAAACAATATGGTTTATGCTGAACATTTGATTGCTTCTGGAGTCTGAAATTTCAGTGGCTGAAATTCTGTCTACATGACCAGCCTCCAATAAAAACCCTGGACTCTAAGAATCAGGTGATCTTCCCTGGTAGACCACTTTTGTACATGTTGTAACAACACACTGCTGAAGGAATTAAGCAGGTCCTATGTGACTCTACTAGGACAGGACTCTTGGAAGTTTTTACCTAATTTCCTCTAGTCTTTTCTCCATGATCCTTTTTCTTTCCTGATTTTACTTTGTATGCTTTCACTGTAATAAATTTCAGTTGTGAGTATAACTACAAGCTGAGTCCAGTGAGGCCACCTAGCAATCACCAAACCTGAGTGGTCTTGGTAACCCTCAACACAGTTATATACACTTCTTTTCTTCTTGCAAATTCTTTAGAGACAAATATTTAAAGCAAAAATTGTAAAATTGTAAATTGTAAAGTTTTTATTTTACTTATTTATTTTTGTTTTTTCTGAGACAGAGTCTCTCTCTGTTGCCCAGGCTGGAGTGCTGTGTGATCTGCCTGCCTCACAGCAGGGAGGCTGAGGCAGGCAGATCACAAGGTCCAATCTCGGCTCACTGCAACCTCTGCTTCCTGAGTTCAAGTGATTCTCCTGCCTCAGCCTCTTGTGAAGCTAGGATTACAGGTGCCCACGACCATGCCCAGGTAATTTTTTTACTTTTAGTAGAGACAGGGTTTCACCATGTTGGCCAGGCTGGTCTTGAATTCCTGACCACAGGTGATTCTGCCAGCCTCAGTCTCCCAAAGTAGTGGGATTACAGGCATGAGCCAGTATGCCGGCCTAATTGTGAGGTTTATAAGTAATATATATATTCCAACAAGAGAGAAATAAATGAAATTATGCTGTTGAAAATTTCCTATATTTAACATGACTATTTTTTAAGTTTTAGTTTAAGTAGATATCCTAAGTACACTACATATATGTAATCACTGGAGCAAACACTGAATATTTTGTATTGTACATTCAGCTCAAGTATGTGTGTAGCTAGATCATATTTTGGGCCATAAAACAAACTTTAAGACATAAAAGAACTGGTAAAAAGGATGTTCTCCAACAATAATAAAGTTTGATAAGAATGCAATTTCAGAATGATGTCTGGGAAATCCCCAAATATTTTGGAAAGAAATCAAACAACAAACTTTTAAATAACCCTTAGTTTGGAGAGGGAAATTAGAAAATAGTTAGAACCAAAAAAAAAAAATAAAATTCCAAGTTAACATTTGTGGGATGCAGCTAAA